GAAAGGACAGGATGGCAGGTGCCACGAGGAGATGCAGAGGGGATGAGCATATACATATAGGTGTGATATGATGTAACAAAAAGGGAAAAGTTTGGGGGCAGGAACACAAAAAGGGAGTTGCGATTGAGGGATGGCATGGCAGACACATGAACTTGGAGAGAGCGTGGGAAGCGGGAGGGGGTGAGGTGATGTGAGCTGGGGTAGCCCAGCCACACAGCATACCACTGCTTTCATTCGAATAGGAGAGTTGCCTCCCTCAGCTGGTCTCTCAGCTTGCACCTCAGTGGTTCTAAGTGGACTCAGACACACACAGGAGCATATGAGCAGCAGCAGGTGAGCAGCAGGAGCAGCAGGGGCAACAGGGTGGCAGGCAGGCACCAGTTGTTGCTAAAGAGGGCGCCGCAAAGCGTACTTTACCTCGGTCCTCCCACATGTTTCTCAAAGAGCAGCAGTCACAGCAGGGGAACCCTATCGAGCCTTCACAAGGGCACACCCACCAGCTGCTGCTTGGGAGCGCGCGGCGGAGCCTCCTTGAGCTCGTCCCTCAGCTCGGCTGGATCCGTGCCCTCCACCACCTGGTGAAGGGAGGTGGGATGTGGTGCAGTGCGGTGTTGTGTGATGCGGGCAAACAACAACTGCACGTGCGATGCGAGCATGGTGTCTCATGTGTGCATCACTCGCGCCTTGCATCTCCCATGCAGCACCCGTGTGCACCACCCGCGCACCAGCCACGCATCATAAATGCACAGCCAATGCCAGCAGTGGCAGTGTGAATGGCACGATCCAGTGTCATGCACAAGAGTGCATGCACAAGGGGTCAGTCTTATAAGCATGTAGCTGAGCGGATGCCACAGTTGCCGTGACAAATACAGGACACACCCATGTGCATGCAAGCACTCCATGCCAACACCACCGATGCTTCACCTGCCAGCATGCGCGCAGCACACCGGTGGCGGTGAAGAGGTTAACCTGGTCCAGAGAGACGCAGAGGGCACAACTGCTGACGCCTTTGACACGCGCCTTCTGCTCACGCAATCCCAAGGTGACTTTTGAGTCGACTTAAAAGTCACCTCGGGAGACACACAGAGGGCACAACTGCCGACGCCTTTGACACGTGCCTTCTGCTCACGCAAACACACCCATGCGCGCTACCACTCCATGAAATGCAATACCAACACCACCGATGCTTCACCTGCCAGCATGCGAGAAGCCACCCGGTGGCAGTGAGAATGACCCGGTTCAGAGAGACACGCATCGGGCACAGGCACACACACCCTCGACACTCGGACACACTTACGAAAGCAAACACTCCATGGCGAGTATGAGAAAGCGTTCACCTGCCAGCACGCCAGCAGCATGCCAGTGGCGGTGAGAATGACCCGGTCCAGAGAGACACGCATCGGGCACAGGCGCTTGCTCACGCCCTTCACTGCCCGCACCTCGTCCGCTAGCTGGTGGGGGAAGGGGGGAGGGGCAGATGATGAATAATTAACGGGGAGAGGATCCCTGGCAGGGAGCACAGGGAGGAGGGCGTTGGGTTGGCACTTGAAACGGTGGGCACAGCCTCTTGCTCACGTTCTTTACTGCCTGCGCCTACCGCCAGCTGGGGGGACGGGGTATGGGAAGGAGAGGAGAGGAGGAGGAGGAGGAGGAGGAGGAGGAGGAGGAGGAGGAGGAGGGAGAGAGGAGGAGGAGGAGGAGGAGGAGGAGGGAGGGAGGAGGAGGAGGAGGAGGAGGGAGGGAGGAGGGGGGGAGGGAAGGAGGGGCAGAAGGCACAAGTCGTGAATTTGACACTTGATGAGGCTGGCACAGTCGCTTGCTCACACCTTTAACTGCCGGAACCTCATTTGCCAAGTGGGGGGGGGGAAGGAAGGGAGGAGGGTCCGGGTAGGAGAGGAGGAAGGCTATGCAGGAAGCGAGAGTAAGGGGAGGGGAAGGAGGGTCGAAAGAAAAGGGAGAGAGGTGCAAAGAGTGAAATAGCTGCTGGAACTGGGACGTTTTCTGAGTCGACTAAAAAAACGCGTGGGGCACGCACTGCACTGGAGTGTGGACGCCAGCAGGAAACGCAGAAAAGAACCTGAATGGTCACCACGTGCAACACACGACACGAGAGTGGCCAGATTATGTGCGGAGTGATATTGAAGTTGTTTTGAGACGTCTCAAGACAACTTGATCACCACATGTTCATACGCAGAGTGCAGCTGATCATCACGTGCAGCTGATCATCACGTGCAGTTGATCATCACGTGCAGCTGATCATCACGTGCAGCTGATCATCACGTGCAGCTGATCATCACGTGCAGCTGATCATCACGTGCAGCTGATCATCACGTGCAGCTGATCATCACGTGCAGCTGATCATCACGTGCAGCTGATCATCACGTGCAGCTGATCATCACGTGCAGCTGTTTCAGCGCGCAAAAAAAAAAGAAAACCGAACCTGTTTTGGAATGTTGAGGACAAAGCTATACCTGTTTGGCGGTGGCAGGTACGGGCGAGAGATGGTGTGAGGCATGGAAGATGCTCATGTGGTACACGTTAGGGTCCTGCAACCACACTCCTGGTGGGGATAGGTGGGGATGGGTGGGGACAGGTGGGGATGAGTGGGGATAGGCGGGGATAGGCGAGGAAGCGGTGCAGGAGGGTGCCTTTCACTATCTCATGGCTCCATGCCTCACAATCACCCCCGCTCCTTTCCTCACACCTCCCGTTCCCCTCCTTACACAATTTCACCTCACTCACCTCCTCGAAAGTGGTGTAGAATGTTGTCCTTCATATCTCCCTGCCATGCACACACAGCAAAACACAGCACAAGAGTGGGGATGGCGGAGAGCGAGCAAATGATGTGAAAACAGGTGGGGTGAGAATGGCAAGGGGACAAGAAGGGACGCGAGAAGGGTAAGTCATTTTAAGGCGCGAGAACATGGATTGCAACATGTATGCTTGCTTGTATGTGTGCATGCGAGTGCCTTTTCTAAATGCACATTGAAAATGCACATTGGGTCCATTCGAAGCACATTCGCTCGCACAGGCGGCCGGGCAGGTTGAGAGGAGAAGGGAGGGCTGGCAGGGTAGGACGTATGGACAGGGCGAGGGGTGAGGGAAAGGGGAGGGAAGTAAAACATTTTAAGCAGGCTGAGAGGGAGATGGGAGAGATGGTACGGCAAGATGCATGCATGGCACATGGCAAGGGGAGAGGGAAGGGGAAGGGAGGGGAAAGTGTTTGGGGAGGTGGAGTGAGAAGAACTCATGGTTCCGAGCTAGGGCGTTTCACGTGGAATGAACATGGTTGCGTTTCCTCTGGTGGAAGCCTAAAGGCTTGTAACTGTGGCGAAAGATCGAGCTGAACAGAGGGTTAGGCTCTTGAATACGTGTCCTTTCGTATTCAATGCAATACAGCACGCGCCTTGAGCACTGCTCTGCACACACCTCGTCCTAGCCAGCTCGGGTAACCTCAAGTGCTGCACGCACTTTCATTACTCGGTGCACTTGGCCACCCCGCAGTTCAATACGTCTGACAGCTGATGGCGGGGATTCGAGAAGGAGAGAGAATAAGGGTTCGGAGAATAAGGGTTTGATCAAGACTGACTGACACGCCATGAAGAGACCAGACCAGACAAAGTAGTAGCTGAAATTTCCCTCAAACATGCAATGGAGAGAGATACTGGAATCAATTGAGAACAGATGCTGGAGAGGGAGGGGCGCACCTTGCATGAATAATATGTGGTGCTGGAGTGGCTTTTGCGACGCTTCAAGACTAGGACAGGAGGGAATAGGTGCAGATCCGTGAGCGTGTGCGGGCGAATGAGAGGGACAGACGCACCTGAGTGGCTGCGGCGTGGTGCTGGAGGCGAGGAGGAACTTGAAACAGTGACTAGTGCAGATGGCCTCTAGCTTTCATTGATAGAAAAACCCATGCAACGTGAGTGTGCACAAGTGCATGAGAGGGAAGAGGCACCTTGAGCGACCGCGAGGCCTCAACGAGCATTCAATGACAGAAAGACACGTGCAACGTGAGTGTGCTGTGCTATGCACAACAAGGCACCTTGAGCGACCAGCCTCAACAAGCATGCAACGTGAGTGTGCTGTGCTGTGCACAACAAGGCACCTTGAGCGACCAGCCTCAACAAGCATGCAACGTGAGTGTGCTGTGCTGTGCTGCGCACAACAAGGTGCATGAGTGGGATGGGAGCGGCACACACCTTTAGCGACTGGGAGGCGGTGCTGGAGCAGCCCAAGAGGAACTCGAAGCAGTCTTGCTGCTTTTGCGTCTCCTTCTGCTTCTGAGGCTCCTGCTGAAGCTGCTGTTAAGGCGGCTTTAGCGAGAGTTCTGCTGCCCCTGGTCCTGCCACGGAGGGACGCCGTCATTGTCACCGCCGCCTATGCAATCACTGCCCTCTGCTATGACATCGGCCTTCACAGTGCTTTTCGGGGCGGCAGAAACGCTGTACCTAGTCTTGAGGTTTGTCTCGCCGTCCAGATTCATTGTTTCCACAAACGCGCGACTCGACGGGTTGCTAGTAGACGCCAAAAGCACGATGTCGCACGGGACTATCGTGCACCCCGTACATGCACCAGCTCCCCAATACGAATGCTCTGCCACGTGGCAGAGCACCACTGGTCCCCGCGGTACATGAAGCACTCGCGCAGTGGCGTCGCCGTTACCGTCAGCACGGAGAGCAGCGGAATGACGGAGATGTAACGGCCGAAGATCGCGAGCTGCGGGATCTGGTTGATTAAGATTAGCACGAGGAAGTAAATGTACGCGACGCGATGAAACTGCTCAAATAGGTTGCGAGGGAGGAACGTTAGCAGCGTGTATTTACTCGTCCGGATGCGGCTGTTTCCATTTCTGCTGTGCTGTTGCGTCAACGAAAAGGCCTCATCAATTGAAATACTCGCATGATTGTGTCCATGCTCCAGTGTCTTTGAACAACGAGTGAGCTTCCCACAAATTCAAAGGTGGCGATGAGATGCGGCTGCCCTTCGGTTCCGCTACTTCAAAGGAGGCGGGGGAGGAAAACGGCAAGAGGTGGTTTGTCCTCAGATACGCCCTCCACGATCCGACGGCGCACACGCAGCATCGCCACCATGGCTGGCGGGAGCTCTGAGTCAGGGTCTTCCCTGCCTGACACCAGCACCTGAGGTTGTAGGGTAGGGCGGGGTGAATGAGGCAGGGAGGAAATGAGGTGGAGTGATAGCCATGAGAGAGCGGAGAGGATGACTCGTCCAAGCTGCTGCAATGCTCAATACAATCCCAGCCGCAAACCCTCATGCAATGCCTAACGCAAGCCCTGGGTTTCTCAAGCCATTAAGTCGATTAGCCATACATTCATCAGTCCCAAACACTCTAAAACCAACTTACCACGCGGTCGTCAGAGCCCGGGGCAGTCGATTTGTCAGTTGACTCACTAATACGAGCCCCTACGAGTTTCTACGAGCCCTAAGCACAGACTTAAAAACTGGACTATGAGAATCTTACCACGCGTTCGTCAGTGCCCGGAGCGCCCTCCACGATCTTAACACGCGCCTTGGTCTCGTCACAGATCTTCTTCACATACTCCCCGCGCAGCCCTGTGATGCTCCCCACCTTCCCCATCCACACCATGAACCGGAGAACGATATCCCCCGGCCACCCCGGCCAACGCTTCTGCTCCCCGCTCCCCCCGCCCCCCCCGCCGCTTCCCCCAATCATCTCTCCGCCTGGACCCCCCCACGTGAAGGAATATATTAGAGAGAGCGTAGCGATAGCGAGAGAGTTTCTGCTATGAACGATGTTGCGCCAGCAACTCGGTAGAGTTTCGGTTGTGCTCGTGTTCAAACGACTAAGTGAGAATCCAAGTAGCAATTGTAGTAGCACTATGAATACAAAGACAAACAAACAAGATTGATATAGGCTACGGGAGGGTTGCACAAACGTTGCGTGGCGCTTCGGTGTAACCCAACCCCACGAAAGTGGTGTGTGGGTGAGCGAACGCGCCTCGTCAACTTCCCAACCCAACTCAGCAGGGAAGTCAATGCCGAGCTCGCCAATTCTCCCAGCACAACTAGAAATGGCGAGACTCACAGAGAATCACCCACAACTACCAAGACCACCCAAGAAGCATGCCCACAACTCCCTAAGCTAGCACCACCCCAGCAGTGACTTCATTAGCGCCGTCATAGTCGCACGACGTCAGCCATCTCAAAGTCATAGGGTCGGTGCAGGGCCGCGTATAGTCTTGGTCGTTCACCGACCTGCCAAGTCAATGCACATTGTCGAGGGCCCTTGCTGTCGTAGGGCCCCCCCGCTGTCGTAGGCCCCCCCCCCGCCGCTTCCCCCAATCATCTCTCCGCCTGGACCCCCCCACGCGCTACCCGCGCTCCCCGCGCTCTCCCCGCTCCCCGCGCTCTCCTCCCCGCGCGGAGTCCCCCGGTTCCCCGCCGTACATCTCCCCCGCGGAACGCTTCTGCCTGTGTTCCCCGTGCTCCCCGCGCGCATCCCCGTGCATGTCTCCACCGTCCCCGCCGATGCTAAGCGCACCGAGCCCCGTGGAGCACGGCGAAGAATCCGGCGGGTATCTTCCGTCAGAAGGGTAACCCTCATTGGACGGCGGGGGATAGGGGGGAAGCGCGGGGGTTGGGCCGCGATGGGGGGAAGGCCCGCCGGGGGTGTCTCCGCCAGGCGGAGCGCCAGTTGCGCCGATGGTGGGTTGACGCATGGAGAAACTAATGTTGGGGAGAACCATCTTTATTCCCGCGTCGTCGGAAGCAGTGTCAGCGCCGGAAGCGGCGGATCCGTCAGGTGCTGTGATTTTAGTGGGGGGTAGCGGGGGATGCTGCTTTTGATTGTCCATGGCGTTGCTAATGTGTGCGAGGCGGCGATAACAGAATGGGAGCGCAGCGCCTTGGCATATGAAGGAAACGTCTCACGAACAACTACTGACCGTTATGTGGCTCTCGTGGAAAATGCCAGTCACTATGTGAAAAAAGAGCCTCGACACAAGACAGCCCTCAGAATCGTTGCTGGTGCCAAATAGATCGGCTATTCGTACAGGTCAGGGCAATATTTGGATTAGGGAGACCTACACTTGTTGCACTGGTGTTTTCTCATGTGCAAAAATAAACAGCGAGACCTTGGTCGGAGATATGAGCACGAACCAAAACCAATTTGTGCAAGATCTACTTTCATGGCATATACGAGCACTTGCAAGATGCAACCCTCATAACAAACGAACAATATTTATATTTAATAAATATTACTAGGTACACCTACACCATTACTAGGTACATGTATGTATATACTAGTAGTGAATGGTATCATGGTGCCTATATGTCACTGATGTCACACCCCTCTCACAATCACACCAGCACGAAGCAGCTCTCTCCGAGCCCTTGCCAATATTTTTTCCTCTTCCACTAGCAAGTACCGCAACATAGGGAAGCTTCCTAGCACCCCTCCAATGCTTGCTGCCGTAATCTTCTCACACATGACCACAGTCCAACTAGCGAGTGTTTGCAGTCTGCTTCTCGCCACAACTGCATCTGAGAATGTGTCATCTTGTTCCACCCTCAGCTGCTCCAACTTAGCACATGCAGCAAGCAGCTGGAGCCAATCCTGCTCCTCCAACCCCAAGCAGCGCACCACATGGAGCCGCTTCAACTGTCCAAAAACAGCAGCTCGAGCAATGGACTGAAAGGACATTGGCCGAGTGCTTAGGACAGGGGCACAGGAGGAGGAGAGGGAAGAGCACAAGGATGGGAGGCAAGAATAGGAAGGTGGTGGTGGAGGGGGTGGGGAGAGGTACATGCGAGGGGATGTGCAGGGGAGGTTGCAAGGCAGCCAAAGAACATGGGGAGTGGAGGAGAAGAGGAGTGATTGTAGGGTCAAGGATTCCAGTGGAGGGCACAACACTTGAACGGGGATTGCTGGCTTGCTGCTGCTTAGATTCTCATCCCCTGGTGCCACCTCCCCTGCTGCCACCTCCCCTGCTGCCACCTCCCCTACTGCCGCCTCCCCTACTGCCGCCTCCCCTGCTGCCACCTCCCCTGCTGCCACCTCCCCTGCTGCCATGCCACCTCCCCTGCTGCCACCTCCCCTGCTGCCACCTCCCCTGCTTCCACCTCCCCTGCTGCCACCTCCCCTGCTGCCACCTCCCCTGCTGCTGCCACCTCCCCTGCTGCCACCTCCCCTGCTGCCACCTCCCCTGCTGCCACCTCCCCTGCTTCCACCTCCCCTGCTGCCACCTCCCCTGCTGCCACCTCCCCTGCTGCCACCTCCCCTGCTGCCACCTCCCCTACTGCCGCCTCCCCTACTGCCGCCCCCCCTGCTGCAACCTCCCCTGCTGCCACCTCCCCTGCTGCCACCTCCCCTGCTGCAAACTCCCCTGCTGCCACCTCCCCTGCTGCCACCTCCCCTGCTGCGACCTCTCCTGCCGCCACCTCCGCTGGCCCTCGACCTTCTAGTGCGTTTCCCGCCTGCTGCAATGCTTCTGCCCCCCCTCCTCCCACCACTCTATTCACTGCTACTCTTCCATTTGCTGCTGCTGCTGCTGCGGCTGCTGCTCCACCATCCGCCCCTGATCCTCCAGGAGCATCCCTGGGATCAGAGAGGAGTGGGCGCATGAGCCGGAAGCTAGCATACACGGCACGCATGGCGACCATCAGCTGGCGTACCATCTCTTGCAGCCTGTTCAGAGCCGCTTCACGTGTATCCACCGCACCAGACCGCAACCCACCCAGCACACTCTCAGGAAAGGATTCATCAGCCAGCGTGCCATCCATGATTTCAACTACTTCTTCCTCCTCCCCATCCCTGACCTCTTCTCCAGAATCCAGCTCTGAAGAAAAGAACCACGCCACTGGACCAGCGGCAGCAGCAGCTACATTGGAGTTAGCAGCAGGAGCGGCAGGAGCAGCAGCAGTAGCAGAAGAAGAAGAAGCAGTAGCAGCGTCAAAGGACCTCATAAGTTTTTCCTCCCACTCCATAGCCGCATTGGACTCACGGACCGAGGCAGAGAAGGACCGGCACACTGAGATCCCAAACCTGATATTTCCGAGTCTCGCAGCGATCCGAGCCATAGCACTCTCGCCTACAGCTCGCACCATCTGATTGGCCTCGGCAAAAGCAGCATCATGGGTTTCCTCAGCAATTGCCAAGAAATCAATAACGTCTCTCACCGCTGCGAGCTTGTCCGCCTGTGCTGCCTCTCCCTCTCTGCGAATATCCACGTACTTGCCCCACTGCGTGTTGCCCCCCCTTGGTAATACCGGTGCAGCTGCTGAAGGAGTACTTGTTTGTCCTCTCTCCCGCCCGTCCGCTCCTCCGTGCCCTCCTGCCTCCCATCCTGCGCCTCCTCCTCTCCGCTCCACCTGAACAAGCAGGCCTACAAGGCTGTCCAGTGACACAGCCCCTGGCAACAACGAGTCCAAGGATCCAACCACCCCTTCCAGGCTGAGCGACCGCAGGGCACTGCATGCTGCAAGCAAGCCCGGGCGGAAGGAGGGTAGACCAGCGAGGTGGAGGGAGTGGAGTTGGGAGGAGGAGTGAGAGAGAAGGGAGCGGAAGCTCTGTGCGCCGAACAGACGGTAGGTGGTGCCGTGGAGGGAGAGGGAGGAGAGAGCAGGGTTGGCTTGGAGAATGGGTGTGATGGAGTGGGAGGAGACGAGTGGGCAGGAGTGGATGGTGAGGTTGGTGAGGGAGTGAAGGGAGCGCGAGAGAGAGCGGAGTTCGTAAGGGTCGACGGTGCAGGAGTGGAGGGAGAGGGAGGAGAGGGAGGGGAAGAAGGCGAGGGATGCGAGAGAGCCCTGAAGTTTGGCGGAATGGATGGTGAGAGATGAGAGAGACGTGCGGAGAGGGGATGGGGGAGAGGAAGCAAGGGGGGAGGACGAGGAGGAGGAGAGAGGGGAGGAGGGGGAAGAGAGAAGAGGGGAGGAGGAGAAGGCAAGGGAGGAGAGTGTGGAGGATTTGGGAGCCCAAAGGGTGAGAGAGGTGAGGGAGGAGCAGCGGGGAATGGAGAGGTAGTCCGAGGGAACATAGAGGAGAGAGAGAGGGACTGCAGTGAGGGGAGGAGGTGCACGGGGGGTAGCGCCGGCTGTTGTGTGTAGGAGAGAACCGAGCGCGCATAGCGGGAGTTGAGCTCCAGTGACGTCAAGAGCCTGAACGAGGGGAACGGGGCGAGTAGTAGGGAGGAAGCGGAGGGAGAGGGATTGAGGTGAGGGGAGGAGGTACACGGGGATGGATGGATGGATGGATGGATGGATGGACGGACGGACGGACGGACGGACGGACGGACGGACGGACGGACGGACGGATGGACGGACGGACGGACGGACGGACGGACGGATGGATGGATGGATGGATGGATGGATGGATGGATGGATGGACGGACGGATGGATGGATGGATGGATGGATGGATGGATGGATGGATGGATGGATGGATGGATGGATGGATGGATGGATAGATGTATGGATGTATGGATGTGGATGGATGAATTGGGCAATTAAAATTCATAAGAACAGAGGAACGGGAACGTTTACTTACGGGCAGTGCGTCACGAGTGCTCGCCACGCTCGACTGTTGACGTTAAAACTATCCCAGCCGGTCACCCATTTCAGCTTTTCCAGTTTCGGGCAGCCCGGTGCGATTCCCGCCATGAGCTGATTCCCGAGCCCGGAAGGAACTTCCACGGTCAGATTCGTTATGTGGGTAAATAACCTTGAATAATCGTCAAACGCTTTCAGCCATTGTCGCAAGTTCGTAACCCTTTGCCGAGAGTAGAAGTCGAAGCTGAGCGTGTGCAGCGTACGCCGAGAGAGGCGGAGGAGGCGGGAGCAGGAGAGAGCTACGCTGCAGCGATCGAATGGGTGATCTGCGAGGGTGAGAATGATTTGGAGGAGCTCGTCGGGGAGAGATAGCAGCCTGCTGTTGCCGGCGCGATCAGTTATTTTCGCCATCGCGAGCTGACCTACTTGGTTAGCTGAAAATACTCTCCGGGTGCTAGCATCCGTAACGTCGTAAGGCTTCTTACAAACACGCATGCGTTCAAAAAGAGAAAAAAAAACAAATCCGGAAGACGTGCGAACTGGAGCTCCGGGATCAGGTGATGCGTGAGACCAAAAAGGATCCGCAAGAGCTCGTCGCATCGAGAGCAGGGCTGTCGATTGGTTCCAGGCCAACACTTGAGAGTCTGAGGTCCCCAGATTTTAGCCCTGAAATTTCCGGAAAGTGGCCTTTTCCTACCCTTTAAGCGTCTGGGAAAGCCCTCAACTCAGAACTTGAATTCAGGGATACACTTCAACATTCAGGGTTTAAGGTACTAGTGCAGCCACAATCATATTGAAACTACTGTCTACCACCTACTTTTGCAACAATAAGAGCGTGGTGGGGGGAAAGCGGTGGTCAGCCAGTCGATAACATCTCAGACGAGTCAAGCGAGTGCTCTCTCTGACTTGGCAGCAAAAGAATCTATGTTCCTGCACGACCCTGCTGGGATGGGATGGTAAGGGAGAAGAGAGAGGGGGGGGTGTGTAGGAAAAGCTGTGGGAGTTTCCGGGTAGGGCCCGAAACTTCCACGGGGAATCAGGGAAACCCCTAAAGTGCCCCCTGTAAGAATCAGGGGAAGGCCCTGCCCACGCCCGTTAGAATTCAGGGCTGTACCAAAAATCAACCCTGAGAATTCGGACCCTGGAGCAAAGTCAGACCTTAATGTTCAGGGCATTAAGGCCATATGCCCTTGAATCGACAGGCCTGATCGAGAGAGGAAACGCGAGTAGCTCAGGAATCAGGTTCTAGCTAGGCGACGAGCGACATACTTTCGGGGATGCGAGGCTGAACAGAAACACTCATGACTCGAGCGATGATGGATTTGTGAGTTGTGACTTGAACGCATGCTGAGATGAAACAATCACAATGTTATGTTATATGAATGAACTTTCAGATAGTGCAGAATAACGAATACACCTGGTCTCCGCCAATTTCACGTCCTGGAACTTCTTTCTGGAAAGACCCCTAACCCACTTCTTGGCTTGATCCATGAACACCCAGAATCTAAATTCTATGAATGATGTCGAGATTAGCTAGGAAGGAATGTGTATTAGGTAAGAGGGAGGGGGTAAAAGGATGTCGAGAGAGTTGGGTTGTACCCTCTAAGGTGTGACCCCTACACAACATAGAGTAAGATTAACAGAACAATGTGTTTTGACACACCCCCATAGGTGAAGTAGGGGATAGCCAAACCTAACAGTGGTCACAAGACCAGTCAAGCAAGAGAACAAGCAAGGCAAAGCCCAGGGTGGATCTCAAGGACACCACACAATCTGAGCACAAGCAGGCGGCCACAAGGCCAGTTCACATGCAGATTTATAATAGCAAGGCAATACACCGATCACAACCTAGCAAGAGAAAACATGCAGGTATAAAGATATATAGCAGTGTACAACAAGAGCAAGTCAAGCAACCAGCAGGTGAGGCAGAGTGGGCACAAGCCCAAGAGCAGTGCAGAAACGCTGATGATCACCAGCCCCAAGGGCCTTGGTGAAGACATCAGCAGTGTTGGCCCGAGAGGCCACGAAAGCAAGGCGCAGCTGACCACGCTGCTGCAGCTCACGCGCAAGAAAGTAGTGCAGAGCAATGTGCTTAGTTCTGTGCTCCAGTCTCTGCTCGCGACACAAGGCAAGCTTTGCCTTGTTGTCGACGTACAGAACTGGAGGAGAACGAGGCCGCTCCCCCAAGTCGGTCAGCAGGTAGGTCAGCCAGCGGAGCTCCTGTGCAGCCATGGCCCCAGCGTAGAACTCGGCCTCACAACTGGAACCAAGCACAGAAGAAGAACGAGTGGACCTCCACGAGACAGAACCAGCGCCAAGACTGAAGGTGTAGCCCTGTGACGAACGCTGAGTCGCCTGGTCGTCGGCCCAAGAAGCGTCAGAGTGTCCTGTGAGGACCACCGAACCCCGTCCTCCAAGCACGAGCCCCATGCCCGATGTGCTGCACAAGTAACGCAGTACCCTCTTCGCAGCATCAAAGTGCACCTTTTGGTGCCTACCAGGTGCCACGTAGCGAGCCAGAAGGATGAGAGGGTACGCGAGGTCAGGTCGAGTGCACGTCATTAGGTACATGAGGCAGCCCACAAGCTCTGGGTACGGACCACTCGGCTCTACGGACTCGTCCGAAGGTGGAGCTGAGAGCGAGTGGCCGGTAGCCAGAGGAGTGGGCTGTGGCGCGGAGTACGTGAAGCGGAAGCGCTGAAGGACCTGGTGCACCATGTGTGACTGAGTGAGGGTGATGGTGCGCTGTGGTCTGTCCCGGGTGATCTGCAAGCCAAGATAGCTCCGCAGCTCACCCAGGTCAGTGCAGGTGTGTCTCTCCTGCAGCTCCGCCTTCACCAGGGTCAGTGCCTCAGTGTCAGCAGTAGCAAAAACCAAGTCATCGACGTACACGAGGATGTAGAACGGCGGCAGAGTAGTGTCGGTGCTTAGAAACAGCCACGGGTCAGCAGTCGAAGGAGCAAACCCAAGAGCCGCAAGTGTCGTCCTCAGTGTGTCGTGCCACTCACGGGGCGCCTGACGCAGGCCGTACACTGGTCGCCGTAGGCTCCACTGGGTACCCGCAGGAAACGATCCAGTGAAGCCCTGTGGACGGCGCAACCAGATGGCCTCGTGAAGGCTACCCTGCAAGAAAGCTGTCGAGAAGTTGAGGGAGTGCAGCTCGTAGTCACGCTGACTGAAGCCTCGAGCAACGTAACGTGCCTTGAAGGCAGGCGGAGAACCCGGCGGCCGCTTCACCCTGAAAATCCACATGCCACTGACGATGTTCGCCCCAGGTGGGGGAACCTCGTCAACGTAGGTGCCTGTGGACTTCCAGGAAGCCATCTCTGCGTCCATGGCTGTCTGCCACTGAGAGGAGTACTCACCCAAAATCGCCTCCCTGTAGGAGCGCGGGTGGGGATGTCAAGTGCATCCGGGTCTCCCTCAGGGGCTAGCAGCATGGTCGCGTGATGGGGTGAAGCGGCAGCAAGGCACTCCAGCTCCTCCTGTCTGTCCTCAAGAACGTCACAGCCAAGGGCAGTACAGCCAAGAGCAGTCTCACCCCCGACGGACGGAGGACAGGCAGGGACAGGGTCAGAGACAAGACTCGCAAGGTAGTCTAGGCGGTACACAGCAGCAAAGTCAACGAGCTCAGCTACTAGGGCAGACGTAGCAGGAGACGAGAACGTAGGGTCCGTCACAACCGTAGCAAGAAGGCGAGTAACAGTCGGACTGGACGCACGAGCAAGGTCAGACGGAGAGTCAGCAACGTCAGGCAGAGAGGACGCAGGAGGTAACGGTAGTACAACACGCTGAGGAACAGAGGAAGGACGGAGTGTCATGTCGTGAGTGCCGGGGACAGCCGGAGCACGCGGACGACGAACACGAGGAACACGAGCACGGACAGCAGCTCTAGGCTCAGGCTTAAGGTCAAAGCTAGACTCAGGCTCTCGACGCTCAGGGGTGGAAGCACGAGTCTCAGGCTCTCAACGCTCAGTCAGGGACTCTGACACCGCAGTGTAAGGAGCAGGAGCAGGCAGTGGGGAGTGTGGTAGCAGCGGTGGCTGTGACTGGTCCGCTGGCGGACACAGCAACGGAGGAGTAGTACCTGCCACAGGGAAGCCAGTAGCACCTGGCGGAAGACTGAGAAGGTGGCGAAGAGCACCAGTAGCTCCCGTACCTCCAGCACGAGCAGCTCCTCCAGTACCCCCAGCAACACCTCCAGCACCAGTAGCACCAGCACCTCCAGCACCACGAGCTCCGACAGCGCCAGCACCTCGAGCACCAGTAGTACCTCCAGCACCTCCAGTGCCTCCAGCTCCAGCTCCAGCGCCTCCAGCACCAGTAGTACCTCCAGTACCTCCTGTGCCAGCAGCTCCAGTAGCACCTCCTGCACCTCCAGCACCAGCAGTACCACCTGCTCCGGCAGCTCCAGCACCTCCAGTACGAGCACCTCCGGGACCAGTAGCTCCAACACCTCCAGTACCTCCAGCTCCAACGCCTCCAGCACCAGCAGTACCAGCACCTCCAGGGTCAGCAGCTCCCGCAGCTCCAGCACCAGTAGCACCAGCACCTCCAGTGCCACCAGCTCCAGTACCTCCAGCACCGGCAGCAGCTCCAGTACCCCCAGCACCAGCAGCTCCAGTACCTCCTGCACCAGCAGCACCTCTAGTACCTCCAGTAGTACCTCCAGCACCTCCAGCACCAGCAGCACCTCCTGGACTAGTAGCTCCAGCACCAGCAGGACCGTACCCTCCACCACTAGGACTGCCTCGCAGAACGACCCACGCACGAATCGCCTGCGGCGAGAGCATCTCAAGTAGAGCAGGCTGCGGTGGCTGTCCAGCTCCAGTACCTCCAGTAGTGGTAGCTCTAGCACCTCCAGCTCCAGAACCTCCAGAAGGACTCGCAGCACCCCCAGAGTCAGCACCCGAAGTCTCAGCACCCCCAGAGTCAGCACCCAAAGTCTCGGTACCCTCAGTCCCAGGACCCTCAGGCTCAGCACCCTCAGTCTCAGCACCCTCAGTCCCAGCACCCTCAGTCTCTGCTCCAGTGTCCACAGCAGTAGGCTGCAGAGGCGGCGAAGACGGCAGAGGTGGGAACCCGGGGGGGGGTAGCCAGACGAGGAGAGC